GCTTCTTCCAAGTAGATCCTACTCATTCTCTCAGATTCCAGATATTACAAGAGACCTGAAAAACATATCCTCACTGCTTTTTCTTCCAAATCGTTGTTGTTTGCTCTCCCATAAGGCCTTCCTTTCCTAAGATTTATGGCAATTCTTAAAAACTTCCATGAATGACCCACCTCCTAAACATGGCCTCGCATTTATCAAAAACTTTAATATGTGACTATATCCGCTAACAAGTCCCAACGTTGTCTTGGGTTATGTATCCAACACTTCTCTCATTCCATCTAGGCCTCAACTCTAGTCTTCTACTCCAACCATCAAGCTCAAGACCACATTGTGAACCTTCCCCCCCCCCCCCCATTCCACAGTCTTGCACCACAACAGCATCAACCAATTTATTTGTTTACTTAACATTTACTGACCAGCATCCATGTGCTCAATTCCATGATGGGTGCTAGGACTGTAACTGTAAGCAAGCCAAATAAAATTTCTGTTCTCATAGTGCTATGGGTTAGCAAGAGGAAAGATAATACAAAGTAATTTTAAAAGTAGTGATGAAGGCTGAAGAAAGGAAGTACAGAGGACTGACTACGGAAGCATGTGGTAGAGGTCTGAGTTTCGAGATTAAGGAAGAAACATCCTCTCCTTCCAGAATTTTCTTTCCTCTAGTCTCATCTGTTCTCCAACGTTATCATAGATGCAGGACCCCTCGACAGCCTATTTTCTCTCAATTTGTTATCCCTTACCTTTGCTTTAAAAAAAAGAAAAAAACTTTGAGGATACGTGAATAATTATTTTAAACTCTTACTGATACCTGTCCTTTTACTTCCACATTCTTCCCTGCCTTACCGGAAAACCCTTAAATATCATTTTTACCTGAGCAGCAAAACTCTCGTAAAGAAAAACTGCTCTGCCATAAAGGCTCCACATTCATCGTTCTACCTTTGTTTGGACTCAGGCTCTATTGCCAACCTTCTTTTATATTTCAAAATATTCCAAAAATATTCTTTTATATTCCAGCCTCGGGCTTCCCAACTCCTCATGGCATCTATTTCATTCTTCTCATTTTTTCAAGCTCACAAGCCTATCACTAACAAATGAGTTGATAGCTCAAATTGAGTTGCTTCAGAGGAAAAAGTAGAAGCCATCATTCATTCATCCATTCATTCATCTAGCAAATATCTAAGTGCCTAACTTTTTAAGTGTTGAGGATACGAATGAACAAAGCGAGCCAAATCTTCGCCATCACAAGCTTACATTTTGGTGGGGTGAAAAGCCACCAATAAAACTAATACACAAGTAAATGATACACTTTGCTAAGGGCTGTGTTATGGTGGTTAGCATGTTAGAGAGACTGGAAGCCTACAGTGAGAGTTTTGCAATACTGAGTAGGGTGGTTGGGGTGCCTTATAGAGAAGGTGATATGAGAGCAAAGACTCAAGGTGATGAAGGAGTCAGGCAGATAGGTGTACAGAGAGGTGCCCCAGGCAGAGGGATGGTCACGGCAAAGGCACCGACTGCAACATGCATGTCTGGCATGTTGAAGGACTAGTGGGAAGCAGGCAATAGGTCTGATGGGGCTCTTCGCTATTACAAAGAATCAGCATTTACTCGGAGATGAATGGGAGCTACCGGAGGGTTTGAACAGAAGAATCAGACAGGAATTCCCTTAACGTAGTGTCTCGTCCTCCACTTCAAACGCACGCACGTTAACTTCCATTCCATTGTTCCGGATGTTTCTGTGGAAAAGTTATTCCTTTCTCTAAGGCGATCCACTTCTGTTTTGGATTTAAGCCACTGCTGTCCCAACAGGGACCTCCCTCCATCAGTTCTCCCCATTTTGCCTACACCTATCACCCCTACCTCTGTAAAGTTTGTGTTGGCAGCCAAAACCACTCTGACTTTCTAAATGCCATCCTCAGCCCCGTATCTTACTTTCTAATGGACTACCTTCTCTTCTCCTCTCACCGCTTACGTACTTGAAAGACACTTTTCTCCTCCCTGTCTCCACCTTATTGGTTAAATCACTTCCTCACCTTATTGGTTAAATCATCCATTTATTCCCTGAACTTATGACCACATAGATCTGCTAGGAACTATGCTGGCAACAGAAATGGGGCATACAGGCAAGTGGGCACATGGGGAAGTAAATCACTACTCACTGAAACTGCTGTAGGCTAAATCTATTGATGTTTCTCATGGAGATTTTATTTTTAAAGGTTATTTATTTTGAGAGAGAGAGAGACAGAGAGAAGCAGACAAGGGCAGAGACAGAGGAAGAGAGAGAATACCAAGCAGGCTCCACACTGTCAGTGCAGAGCCCGACACAAGGCTTGATCCTATGAACAGTGAGATCATGAGCTGAGCCAAAACCCAGAGTCAGATGCTTAACCGACTGAGCCATCCGGGTGCCCCTCTCGTTGATATTTTATTTTGACATAACTTGACCCTTGAATAAAAGTTGCATATAGAGTAGAAAAAATTTTCCAGATATTGTTTACCACAATTCCCTAAACGCTAATGTCTTAGTAGCTTAGTCCGCTAGTCCCTTTTTCATTATATAAGTGCGTGTGTATAAATACATATATCTCATTTTTTTTTTTTTGGAGTTGCAGAGATGATGCCCCTTTGCTACTACCTCAGTGTATATATTTAAGAACAAGTTAGTCCTTTATCACAGGTTATCGATATCAGGAAAAATAGCAATGAAATATTATTGTCCATAGATACTTAAAACTTCTCTCATTTCAGTACATGACTTTAAACTTGCACTTCAAAATTACTACTTTTAAAAAGTATGAATGCTACAGACATATACTGTAAGATATTTTTGAAAAAAAGCAGAAGGGATAAAATTCAAATTATATTCTATTATCCAGAGAAAACCACCATTAATTTGTATACCCATATATAAAGAAACATAATGTTTAAAAATAAATGGATTATACAGAGCATATTACTCTTTTGTAACCTGCTTGGTATACCTACTTGGTATAGTTAACATTTCCTCATGCCATTCAGTTTTTTCAAACCTATTTTTAATAGCTGTATCCAAATCTCTCACATAGACAGCGCTTCCTTGAAATTCTTCCCTGCCTTTACTTGCAACTCAATCCTCTTCCTTCTTCCCCAGTTGAAAAAAATCAGTGTTTTCACTTTATCCCCTGCCCATCTCTCCATATTGGTCTTCCCGGGATTCTGTCTTCAACGCTGTTTCAGCCCACTAGCTTTAACTCTCTGCACGCTTCCAAAATTTCCATTCTAGATCTTTCCCAAGCTCCAACATCTCTGAGTGGATGTTACCTCCCACTCGACATGCCCCAGAGGGAAGGTACCACCTTTCCTTCTCAGTCATGCTTGTCTTGCATTCTGTCACCTTAACCTGTCTCTGCCTCACTCACCCCTTGTGCTCATTGGTTACTATGCCATAAATTCTACTTCACAAATACATCTTAACGCATCACTTGTCCACACCATTGCCAGCACCTCCTCTCTGGTATTAAATGCCAGAAGATTTTATCTGGTCTCTCCACTTCAGTTCTCAAGCCCCCCTCACTCCTGATACAGTCTGGATTCTGTATGGGAACACAATCACGCAACCCGCTTTCTCTGATGTCTCCTACTGCTCTCAGGACACAACGCAAACATCACGTGGAACACGCAAGCCTGGTCAGACTCTATCCTGACCCTGTCCAGCATGCTACCATCACTCAAACTGTACACACCAGGAATGCTGAACCACTGACAATTCTAAATTCTAAATTCTCTGTGTCTTGGTCTGTTCCCATGGAGTTCCATCTGTCCAGCTTCACCCTCCTCATATTTTCTCCCTCCCCCTACCCTATGTGCTTTATTCCTACTCATTTTTTAAGGCTGAGTGAAGCCATCATCTCTCCCAGGAAACCTTTCTTGCCCACCTCATCCCAACCTTGTCTCTGTTGGGTCCCTGCCTAGGTATTCTTGGGGATCTCTTGGGTTCCCTCTGGAAATCAAACTGTAATGTGATGATCTGGTTACCTATTCAACTCACTAAGCCTCAAACCAGGGCCACTCTCATGTATCTAAGAATCTATAATGGCACCAAGCACATTCTCTGGTTTAAGTTGGATTCTAGTAAGTGTTTTGTAAAAGAACTCATGGGCATAACACCTTTTTGTTATTTCCTTATTGCTTCCATCTGGTATCCTAAGTATAAAAGTTATACATTTGTATTTCATGCTATATCTATGTATAACTCCTTTTAGTTGTGGTATGCATTAAATAAGTGATCCTGAGAGCTGGAGTAAGTCAATCACAAATTTATGTAAGTATAGCATTTCCGTTTGAGAGGTTTTAAAAACACAGAGGATAATATAAAAAGGGTTAAAAATTTAAGAATTACTTCTGATAGAAATAATTTCTTTATTGAAATAGTCCAATCTGGGTAATCTGGCAAATACATAAACACAACCTCACAGTTACTTTAATATCACAATCACTTTCCTATCAGTAATTTCATTAACAAAGATGTGAAACTTGTTTGTTGGAGGCAGGCCTTGTTAACGTGAAAGAGATCAAAACTAACTTAAGGATTGAAAGCTGCTTTATAAAGTGTTTAATTAGATCTATAGTTGACATGACAGGAGGACAGTTTCTAAGACTCCTTAAAGAGTACCAGAAGCAAAATTTTGCCTAACTAAATACGCATGATTAGAAAAATCATACAAATGAGAGAAAAAGGGAAGGAGTCACTAACATAAAGATAATTTAGTAGAAGAGAAAAGAAACAAAACCCCTTTTGATTTTGTCTTCTTGATAGGATATCAATATTTTCAGCAAACACTTCATAACATTGGATAAAAAGAGAATTACAAGAATGGGACTCTGCATAAGGCTCTATTACATTTATATAATACATACACACATGCATATACACACAGATATATACTTGATATATCTAACAGTTTCAATAAACTAAGAAAAGCTATGTTTTGTATTAATGTGAAAGTCTAATATATATTCCTTACCTGAACCTGAGAAATTGTCTAAAGACCCGTCTGCTGTTGTTGAAACTATTTCACTGCTGCTCATTGGCTCTGTTTTAACTACAAAATAAACAACATATATCATATATCCAATTAATAGTTATTTGTAAAGGCATGGTGGAGAAGTTATAACATTCAAAATAGTTACAAGAAAATCACTCTAAAAGCCAGTCTTTTAGTATTTGAATGTAATTCAGATTAACATTTGTAATAGCGTTTTTACAAAACATACGCATGTTAACTGTTTTCTGCTTAAGTTAACAATCCATTGTGTCAAGCTATCCTTTAAAAACAGAAACACTTTAAAAGTAGCTAAAATCTTAACATTTATATGATGTGGACATGAGGTTATTTCCTTGGGTATGTAGCCATTTGACGAAACAGAGCCAAAAAGCCATGATACTCAAGGACAGGCACATGCTTACGTGTGTGAACACACACACACACACACACACACACACACACACACACACACACACA